TTGTCCATTCACCTGGGTGCGTGTCCACATCTTGGCTGTTGGGATTGTGCTGTGGTAAGCACAGGTATATAAGACTCGCTAGAGTGCTGACCTGACTGGGGAGTGGTACAGGTGAGCTGAGAGTAGCTCTTCCTTTAGTTTTCTGAGGACCCTGCATACTGACTCCCACAGGACTGTTCTAATTTGCTTTCCTACCAGCAGTGTAGAAGGTTCCTTCCTGCCCCATCCTTGCCAGTGTCATTGTTTGTGTTCTCAATGTTAGCCATTCCGACTTGGGTGAGAGGGAATTCCAGTGTAGTTTTAATTTGCATTTCCCTGGTGGCTACACATGTTCAACGTTTTTTCATATATTTATTGTCCATTTGTACCTTGTTTTTGTGAAATGTCCAATTCAGTTGATTGGGCTATTTGGTTTTATTTTTGGTACTGGGGATCAAACTCAGGTCCTTGTGCTTATGAGGCCAGGTGGCAGAAACACTGAGCTAAATCCCTGGCCCTGATTTTTTGATAATAGGTTTTTAAGTTCTTTATATATTCTACATGTTAATTCTTGGTCATAAGAGTAACTAGTGAGCCAAGCATGGTGGCACATGCCTGTAATCCCATTAGGCTTTCCTTTCATTCTGTTGGCAGATTCTCTTGCTGTTCAGAAACTTCTGATGTACTCCTTCCTGTTTGTTGAGTCTTGCTATTTTTCCTGTCCTATTGGAGTCCTATTCAAGAGTCTTTGCCTGTGCCTGTGGCTTCAAGTGTTCTCCCAGTTTCTAAGTTTCAATATCGTGATCATTTTTAAGGCTGCATAATCTTCCACCCAGAAGAGGTGTCACCATCTGATTGGCCACTTAACTTCCCTTTGGGCTGCTTCATTTTCCCATGAGTGTTGTCATGCCACAATGCAGATCTTTTGGCACATGTATCTATTTATGTCTTCTGGATTATTTCCTTTGGATAAGTTCCCAGAAGAGCCATTAATGGGTCAAAGACTTGGAACATTCTTATGATTCCTGGAACATACAGTAGCATATAGCTGTTATTTTTGGAAGGCAAGCTCTGCCTCTGCTTTGGAGCACCCCTGCCATGTGCATCAGCTCTGGGTCCCTGAGCAATCCCAGGGTGCTCTGGGTGACCCTGCGCCCACTGTGAGACCCACCAGAAAGTCCAGCCTCCTTCCTTTCCCAGGAATCCAAGGGCTGGGGTTGGGGTCTTGAGCTTAGGCCCTGAGAATGACTATCAGGGCTCCTCTGTGTGTGCATAAGCGTTTTTCTAGAAGATCCATAGCTAACATCACACACCCTTCTGAGGGCCCAGGATCCAGGAAGGGATTTAGAATCTCTGAAATACAAGCACAAACAAGGTCAGCAACAGTGGAGAGAGCCCAGCAGTGTGGGTGTAAATGAGGAGGGAAGACCTTTCTGGAAAGTGCCCTGTGAGGTGAGCGTTGGGTGCAGGTAGGGAGAGGTGTTCAGAGAGGCTGACGCCAGAAGCAGAGTGGTGTCAAGGGTCAAAGAAAAGGGAGTGGTCCCACCTGTCTGCTCGGAAGGCCCCCTCCCGCCTGCCCAGGAGCGAGGCAGGACATGGGACAGGTGGTGCCACCGGGAGAAACCCGAGGAAGTAGGAGGGAAGCCGGCGGCGGTGCTGAGGAAGGTCAGGTGCCATGTGGAAGGTGGACTGAGGAGTGCAGGCCGGGCCTGGGACCAGGGAGGCCTGTTGGAGACTTGCAGGATTGCAGTGGCTGGGGCTGGAGCACTTGCCTCGAATATGTGAGGCCCTGGGTTCAAGCCCCTGCCCCCCTGCCCCACAAAAACCCACAAAAAATCCCAGTGGCTTGCCGCCCACTGGTCATGTCCCTCTCTTGGACCCCGGCCTGTCCTGTCCATAGCCACAGCCACCCACTTCCCGTCCACAGCCACAGCCACCCACTTCCCGTCCACTTCTCTCTGTCCTATCAGCTTTATCATATAAAGCCAGCTCATTATCAGATGACTCAAGGTGGACCATCTGCTCCTTAATTCTCAGAGGTTGACTGTGAGGTCTCCAGAAACCACGAGTAAATTGGTAGCCTGAAATCAAAACCACAGCTCCTTTCTTGTTATTTTTAAGGTTGGTATTTATTGACTTTCTGCCTTCACGAGTCATACACTGCTCTTTCAGATTGTTATGGAAATACATAACGTAAAGGGGGAAGACAGTGCCCTGTCGTGATGGGGACTCCTGGGATCCTGTGCTCGCTCCCGGCCAGCCTGGCTCTGTGCGGGTTGACAGTCCTGGCGAGGCTGGGCTGCAGCAGAGGGGAAGCGGGACTGATCAGGCCTGCTGTGAGCTCTGCTCGCCCGAGGATCCGGGGGACACAGAGGGTCTGGCCACGGGCCTGGCTGCTGGGGTTGCAGCTGCCCTCAGTCCGAGACCTCCTGCACTTGGCAGTTCCCTGTGGTGCACACGGGAGAGCAGGGGGTTGGTGTGAGTGGAGACAGGGTCCTCCTCCCCGTCCCTGCATCATCCTCCTGGCGCCAGGCAGCTTACGAGGCCCGCTGGAGTGACGAGGGACTCTTCTGACCTGACACAGCAGCGGAACTTGTAACCCGTAAGCCTGTGGCCAGCCCGGGAGCCTGGAAGAAAATCAGTCCTTCTTTTACAGGCACAACTGCTGTCTCGACACCCTTGGATTTTTTTTTTCCCAATACTGGGGATTGAACTGAAGGCCTTCACACTGAGCCGCATCCTAACCCTTTATTTTTTTATTTTGAGGCCAGGTCCCTAAATTGCCCAAGCTGAGCTGAACTAGCAATCCTCCTGCCTCTGCCTCCCAAAGTGCTGGGATTGTAGGCCTGCACCGCCACACCAGACTCTGTCATATTTTGCATCAAGTGACATGAGAACCCCTGAGACACACTGAGTGCTTGCTGTGTGCGGGGCACTGCTCTAAGTGCCTTGTAGGAATGAGTCACTTAGTTCTGGTTTGCTGCCTGGGAAACAAGGCCCAGGGGACCTTAGCAACTTGCCTGATGCCACACAGGGAGTGCAGCAGGGCTGGGGTCTCTGCTCCTAACCCGCCGCCTCCCGCCCCAGCCTCATGTGCCAGGGCAGTGCTGCCCCACGTGGAAGACGACCCAGAGAAACTCAGCCCCAGGACTCCGGCAGGCCTCTCCCTGGCTCCAGCTTTTCTTGTAAACCCTGAGTTTCGTCTGTCCACAGTCCAGGAGCTTTCTGCGCTGCTGGGCCCCAGGAGAGGCTCCCTGGGCTCTGACCTCGCCCCTGGCCAAGTGGCCAGAATTTTACCCCTTGCTCTGCCTGGGCCACAGCCCCAGGAGACTCCACTGCTGCTTCCCTGCTCAGGTGGAGCCGGGCAGGGCGCACTGGGGTTATTTTCGCTTCTCATTCCTGTGCTGTAATGATGCCATTCACCAGGGTTTTGGGTGTGTTTGTTTTCTAGTACCAGGGAGTGAACCCAGGGTCTTTGCACTGAGCTTCTTCCCCAGCCCTTGTGAGACAGGGTCTCACTAAGTCATTAAATTGCTGAGTCCTCTGACTTCCACCTCTGTTCTCCCGGTTTTTAACAAAGGGAGCGACTGCTGTGGAAAAGGAAGGGTGATCGTATAACCCCCAGCTAGGGCCGCCCGGGCCCAGAGAGCTCCCCTCCCCGCCACCGTCAGCGGGCTCAGTGGACCCGGGCCACGCCCTGGCCGCCAGCCCCCAGATCTCACCGCCTCCGAGGGGCGAGGGGCGTCCCTTGGCGGTGGATGGCAGCCCCCCTCTCCTGGCTGCCTCTCCCACTGGCCTGTCAGTCACTTCCTCGCCTTCCCAGGGCTCTTGCTCCTTGAGCTTGTCCAGCTCCATCCTCAGCCCTTACATTCTTTCCTGCCGTTCTCCGCCTGCCTTCATCGGCTTCTTCTGAAGGGGCACAGGGACCCCACCACCTTCCTGCCCGCCAGCCCCGTGCTGCCGTGGCCTCTCATTCGGTCTCCTGGCTTCCCATGCCACGCACCCGCCTCGGCAGAGCCAGCTCAGCCCGTGCCCCACACCTGCCTTGCCCACAGCTCTGCTCCTCCTGGGTGCCCTGTGTCAGGCACCATCCTCAGATGCCCCAGCCACAGGCTTTTCTGGAAAGAGCCGGATAGTAAATATTTTTGGCCCTGCAGGCCATATGGTCCCCATCACAACTGCTCAGCTCTGTTGTTGAAGCACAAAACCAGCCAGAGACAATATATAAACAAATGAGTGTGGCTGGGTGCCAATAAAACTTTATTTATGAATACAGGCAGCAGTCAGATCAGGCTCACAGGCTGTAGCTTGCTGACCCTCGAGCTGCAGTGAGCTCTCAAGGTGGGTTTCTCCACTGCTGAAATACTCGCAGGGCCCTGAATGGGTGTCATCTCTGTGTGTGTGTGTGCGCGTGTGTGTGTGTGTGTGCGCGCGCCCACGCTCGCCTTGGAGCACATGGCTTCTCTCCAGGAATGCCTCAGCCTTGGCCACTGTCCTTCCTTGGTGCCCCCTTGACATACATAGTCCCCTGCTCCCTGCCTCTGGTCAGGGCGGTATGGCCCCATACTGTCCTGGGCCTGTCCTCTGACCTGCGTCATGTGAGAGCTGAGTCTCAGGTGGAACTCGCTGGTGCTTGTGTCCTTGCCCCCTGGTGTGTCGTTGGCACCCATTGCTTAGGTCTGAGTTTTGTGACCCATGGCTCCATGGAGGCGCCATGGGTGACAGGAAGGGAGGCCAGGAGTGAGCACTCAGTGCAGGGGCTGCCACAGGAATGGTTGCACTTCTTGTGGAAAGAGGAAGATGCTGAGCTGGGCCTTCTTCGTGGCATTTCTGATTCCCATCAGCAGCCTGAAGGGACCAAGGGAGCCCCCTTGGGCAAGAGGTCGCCTGGCCTGGCCTCTGGCTGTCCCCACCGGGGGTCCGACGGGGCCTCTGACCACACTCACTGGGAAGTATCTGGACTTGGCCCTGCGGAAGTGCAGGGCAGGCCTGCTTTCCCTGCAGTCCCGTCTCCCCCACAGGAGAACCTCATGCTCTCCATCCTGCCCAAGCACGTGGCTGACGAGATGTTGAAGGACATGAAGAAAGACGAGAGCCAGAAGGACCAGCAGCAGTTCAACACCATGTACATGTACCGGCACGAGAACGTCAGGTGCGCCGGCCAGGGCCTTCGTTGGGTCTGTCGGCACTGTGGGGCTGAGTTTTCCCGGGAACTGGAGGCAAGGCCGCCCCATGGTGTGAGCCTCAGCTCCCCTGAGGGCTGCTGTTGCTGGCAGACATGGCCATCGGCTGCCTGAGCAAACCCACATTGTACAGTGTCACCCTGGGTGGGGAAGGGGCTCCTGTGGGGTCATCAGCCGTCCAGAGCCAGCCGTGGGGCTAGAACTGTGAATTGTGATACTAGGAAGAAGGGTGCATCAGCCAGGAGCAGGGGTGAGGCAGTGGGGGTCCCCAGGCCTGTAGAAGGGGCGTCAGCAAGGATAAACCGACCCTTGGAGCCCTGAATTGCCTGGAAGTGTTGGGGTCCCTGCACTGGGGGTCGGGCGACACCGCCTCCGTCTGAGGGCCTGGCTGGCCCGAGCCTGAGGCAGCAGCTGTGGGCCTCACTGCTGCGGCCCCTCCCCATGCAGCATCCTCTTTGCGGACATCGTGGGCTTCACCCAGCTGTCATCTGCCTGCAGCGCTCAGGAGCTGGTGAAGCTGCTCAACGAGCTCTTTGCCCGCTTTGACAAGCTGGCCGCTGTAAGTGCCCGGGCGTCGGCCGCCTGGACGCCCCTGCTTCGCAGTTGGTCCCCACTTGCCTTCCTTTGCCCTTTGCCACTCCCATGCTGGGGAGGGACTGGGAGCCCAGGCCGTGCCCTGCCCTTTCAGAAATACCACCAGCTCCGGATCAAGATCCTGGGCGACTGCTACTACTGCATCTGCGGCCTGCCCGACTACCGCGAGGACCACGCCGTTTGCTCCATCCTCATGGGGCTCGCCATGGTGGAGGCCATCTCGTGAGTGGGAGCCCAGTGAAACACGGGCGTGAATGAAAAGCTGGTGATCAGAAGGGAGGAACCGGAGGCCCTCAGGGGACGTGCCCCCAATCCCCCGGGCCTGTGGCTGCGAGCTCTGCCTTGGCTGAGGGATGCAGGCAGAAGCTGCGAGCGAGTCCTGGGCCCCTCTACCGGGCAGGAGGGAAGGGCAACTGGCCACCACCGAGGGCTGTGCCCCGAGCCTGTCTTGTGTGCCCGGCAGGTACGTTCGTGAGAAGACCAGGACCGGAGTGGACATGCGTGTGGGCGTGCACACGGGCACGGTGCTGGGTGGCGTCCTGGGCCAGAAGCGCTGGCAGTATGACGTGTGGTCCACTGACGTCACTGTGGCCAACAAGATGGAGGCTGGCGGCATCCCAGGGTGAGTGCCCACCAGGTGGGCAGCCATGAGGGCAAGGAGGGGACTGGCCTGCCCCTCGGGCTGTGGCCCCAAGAGGAACCCAGGCCCAGGAGGGTGTCCCTGCCCTCCCGCCCTGCTGAGGCCCCCGGGGGCTGTTTCCCTCCCAGCCTCCACCTGGGGTTCTGTCCTTGTTTATACTCCCACAGGTGAGATTACTAGTAGTCAGGCAGCACCTGGAGGCCACACCGTGGAGCCTCACTCAAGCTGTTCTGCAGCCCCTGTGCTTGGGTGGACAGGCCAGGGAGGGGCAGCCTGGCCTTCTGTCCAGGCAGGGAGCGTCCTGAGAGACAGTGACAGTTCCAGCTGTGTCCTCGGGCTGCAGGGGTTGCAGCTGAGCCTCAAGCAGGGTGGGGAATAATTAGACCACGTGACTTTAGAGTTCAGAGCCAGCTTCTCTGTTCCTCAGCTCAGCAGGCCATGAGCAAAGCCATATTCCTAGGGATCCAATGGTGGCCCTAGGAGTGTGCCCACGCTGTGGTTAGTGGCAGGACTGTCCCGGGGTGGGTGCTCAGGAACCGTCGCTGTGGTCCAGGCGCGTGCACATCTCCCAGAGCACCTTGGACTGTCTGAAGGGCGAGTTCGACGTGGAGCCGGGCGATGGGGGCAGCCGCTGCGATTACCTGGAAGAGAAGGGCATCGAGACCTACCTGGTCATCGCCTCCAAGCCGGAGGTGAAGAACACAGCCACCCAGAAGGGCCGCCACGGCTTGGTGAGTCCCCTCCCCAAGGTGGCAGACTGGGAAAGGGAGCCACTGCAGCAGGCTTGCAGACGGCCGGCCAGAGCTGAGGGCGGACTGGGGTGGAGGTGATCTGAGCCCTGGAGAGCAGCACCTCCTCTGAGGGGAAGCGGTTCTGGGGGTGACAGCGAGTGTGGTTCGTGGCCGGTTGGAATTAACAGGCTGCCCAGAAGGCGAGGCCACTGGCCACGTGTCGGTGGCTGCGGGTGCACGGAGTGGGGTGGCACGGAGGAGGGGATGAAGGAGCGGGGCAGAACAGCAGGGCCACGGGTCCTGCCCGAGCGAGGGTGGTCTCTGTGGGTCTCCCAGCAGCCCTGGCCGCAGGGCCGGCACCTTCCTGGTCCCCTGGGCTGGGCCATCACTCGTGTGCCTGGGCAGGGCTTGCTCCAGGGCCTTGGCACATTTTTTTCTGGAATTCTCCCTTTTAATTTGCCCCTTTGGGTCTTTATTGAAATGTCATCTTCAGTGACACCCCACCCACTCCCCTCTTCACGCCCTGATTCCCCAACAACCTGCATCCCTTCTCCTGCTTCCCTCCTCCTGCTTCCCTCCCATCCGCTGTGGACTGCTCTCTTCCATGAGAATGTGGGCCCCAGAAGCCAGGACACTGTCTGTCCTCAACAAGGGTGCATGCACTGAAGGAATGAGCCGGCCCCGTGTTAGTGTCTAACACCCCGGCAAGGAACACTGCCAGCCGTCCGTCGGTTTGTGGAGCTTATTCAGACACAGTGTGTGCAACAGGGCCCTCCCCAGGCGGCCCTCAGAGTCCCTGTCACTGAGTTACTGTTTTGGAAATAGGTTGGAGCAACTGCATCTCTCTCCCTAAAAAACTTTTAATAGTAGAAATCGACACTAGAAAATGATAGCATTTTAAAATTAATGTGCTAGAGGAGGAACTGAATAGTGACATTTCTAGGTTGGCGAGGCTTCTACAGTGTAGGTGGAAGGTTCCAGAACAACAGTGCCCTCCCAAGGGCTGGGGTGGGTAACAGGCACTGTCTGTCTGGGGTCCCTGATGACCACTCCCTTCCACTGCAGGCCCTCCCGAATGGAGCCCCAGTGTCCTCGAAGCCCAGCTCCCCTGTCCTCATTGAGACCAAGGAGCCTAATGGCAGTGCCCACACCAGCGGCTCCACATCGGAGGAGCCTGAGGAGCAGGAGGCCCAGGTTGGTGGGGGCTCTGAGCAACGAGGGCTCGCTGAGGGCCAGCTCATGGGCAGGGAGTGGGGTCTGGGACACTAGTCTGGTGCTGCTTCGCTTTAGTGTGACGTCACCTCCTCAGGTATGTGGGGGTGGGGGTGGCACCGCCTCTGCGGCCTCGTGTAGCTTGGTGGCCTGGAATCCTGTAGGTCCCCCAGCAGGGACAGCCACCAAAGGTTCTGAAGAATCTGAGATTGGGGGCCGGCCTCACCCCTCTGGCTAGGTCAAACCCCACAAGGCCCATGCACAGAAGGGCACTTCCGGAGCCCACAAAGGTGAGGATCGGCCTCCGTCGAAGGAGTGGCGTGTGTCTCGGGAAAGGATCTGGAACTGCCTTTTCTGGGGCTTTTTTGGTACCGGGGATCGAACTGGGGTCCTTGTGCTTGTGAGGCAGGCGGCAGAACCACCAAGCTAAATCCCTGGCCCTGGAACTGCCCTTGCTGAACGAGCTTCCGCGCAGTTGCTAACTGGGAGACACGGAGATGGGGATCTCTGCCTCACTGAGCTAGCTGGCTGGAAGCAGTGGCAGGGGACAGAAGAGTTGTCCCCAAGGCCATTGGGTCAGCCGCTGGAAAAGGCAGCCAGGGCTTAACGAAAACTGGCTTTTCCTTGAGCACCCAGCACTTGCCAACTTTTGTTTATTTCGATGTCTTGACAGAGTGGACACAGACACGATGTAACTTGCTAACATGTAGGTGGCTTTAGCCTACACTTCTCGTGTCACAGCATTAGCCAGTGTCACTCTGCTTCCGATGTGCTCCGTGGGTAGATACCTGCTGTGCCAGAACAGGCCGGCCGCACCATCACACACAGGAAGACAGAGCCTAGGAAAGCCAGGTTCTGGGTCAGACCCAGCCAGTACAATGAGCATCAGACCAAGGAACAGTGGTCCCAGCTCCCAGACGCACTCAGCTACTACCTGGGCCCAGAGCTGGGTAACCATGTTTCTGAGTCAGTGCCTTTCCTCGGGGACTGGCACTAAGATGGCAGTGGGTGTGCCGGCTCCACCAGCCCTTGCCTTTGTTGCCCACTAGTGACAGGACATGCTTGTCTCTCCCGTCGCTGTCCAATCACATCTTCTTCAAAACAAGCCAGGTCCGAGCGCCTTTGGTGGCTAAAGCCCTAGGGCTGGAAGTCACTCAACACCCACCGGTGTCAACACGTAGGGCTTCGTGTGACCCCCGTTCAGCAGTGGACGAGCCAGGACTGTTGCCCAGGCTGCTCTTGGGGGCCAGGGGAGCAGGCAGGACCCCAGCAGGATGGAGCTCAGGGATCAGGCGTGAGTAACCTCCTGCTCCTCCCTCTTCCCTGCCTCCCCACTACAGGCCGACAACCCCTCGTTCCCCAACCCCCGCCGCAGGCTGCGCCTCCAGGACCTGGCTGACCGAGTGGTGGATGCCTCCGAGGATGAGCATGAGCTCAACCAGCTGCTCAATGAGGCCCTGCTGGAGCGAGAGTCTGCCCAGGTGTAGGTGCCACGCACAGGTCCTGGCTGGGCCGCTCACAGGAAGCCATGGTCTTCTGGAAGGCGGCCCCTCCTTGGCAGGCTGCGTGAGGTGTAGCATTCATGGCTCACAGGGCTTGTTTCCACCGCAGGGTAAAGAAGAGAAACACATTCCTCCTCTCCATGCGCTTCATGGACCCGGAGATGGAGACCCGCTACTCGGTGGAAAAGGAGAAGCAGAGTGGGGCCGCCTTCAGCTGCTCCTGTGTGGTCCTGCTCTGCACCGCCCTGGTTGAGATCCTCATCGACCCGTGGTGAGGACTGCCAGGCCCCGAGGGGGCCACAGTGGGGAGGGTCGGGCGCCGCAGCCGGAGCCTGAGGTTGGGGCACAGGTGCCCCTGCTGCCTTCCTGCCCCCTTCTCTCTCTCTCCCTGGGTTCCGGAGCAGCACGCGCACCAGAAAGGGTGCTGGGGGTCAGAACTTGGCTGGGCAGGAATAGCGCCTCAGCTCAGTCACCAAGGCCAACCTGCCTCTCCCTGCTTGGCTCAACTTAGGACTCCAGGCTCTGGCACAGACCCTCTGGGGGCCCGGAGTCCTTGCCTGGCTGCTGAAGCCCCACCCGAAGGTGCCTGTCACCCTCCCAGCAGCTGCCTGGCAGCTCCCTCCTTCACAAGGTCCCCTCTCAGGGAGCAGGTGTGGATCTCTGCATTAGTCCTAGGAAAAAGAGCCGGGAACTCAGCCACTTCACCTAGTTTCTGGATGTGGCACCGTGGCAGCCCACTGCAGGGGCCTGGGGCCCGAGTTTGCTCACCTGGGCTGCAGAGATGATGCCTGCCCTGGTGAATTCTCAATAGGGAGATCATTCATTCACTTTACAAATACTTACTGTCTACCCTGTGCCTAGAGATTAAGGTCTGGGGGTATAGCAGTGAACAGAACGTAAAAAAACCTGTGCCCCTGTGGAACTTAGAGTCTCATAGAGGAAGCTAGGCACGAGTGTCTAAATAATTACGCATGCAGATAAAAGGGAAGCAAGGGAGGCAGGAGTGGGGGTTGGAGAAGGCCTCACCGACAAGGTGATACTTCAGTAAAGGTAAGCGGGTGAGGGGCAAGCCTTCTGCTGTCTGGGAGTCGCCTGTCCCAGCAGGGGTGCCGAGGCGGTGGGCCCGGCCTCTGGTGCACGGAGGGTTCGGCACTCCCGGAAAGGGGGTCGCTGGGCTGGAGAACTGGGGCCTTGGAGGCAGGGTGCCTGCTCTGGCCCTTGAGTGGGGAGTCACCTGCTAGGGAACAGATGTGGAGGGCTCCCCTTTGCTGCATTGAAAACAAGGGTGGTCACAGGGAAACCGGGAAGGAGGTGATGGCAGTGACCCAGTCAAGCCATGTGGTAACCTGGGCCAGGCTGAAGTTAGAGAACACAGGGCTGAGGGTTGGATTCTGAACCTTATCAATGGGTGGATGGACTCTGAAGGTATTTGGGAAACAGAACTGACAGGATTTGCTAACAGATTGGTTGTGGGGTATGAAACACTGGAGTCAAGGATGTCTTCAAGGTTTGTGACCCGAGCAACTGGAAGGAAGGAGTTGCCATTAACCAAGATGGGGAACAAAGGAAGATGGGCTCTGGAGCTGGGTTTTGGCCATGTTTGGTTTGAGAAGCCTACAAGACTTTGTCTGTGAGAAGGTGGGCGGTATTCTGGGGTCTGGGAGAGGATGGTGCTGGAGCTACACACCTGGGAGTCACCCATATGCAGGTGCACTGAGAGCATGAATCCCGATGCCATCACCAAGCGAGAGGGCGGGCGGGCACAGAGAGAAGCAGCTCACACAGCTGCATGTAAAATGGGAGACAGTGCAGCAGCAGGCCCTGAAGAGACCCAGAAACCAAGTAGGAAGATGTTTCAGAGTGGGGTAAGAGGTGACTTTGGATAGGACACTGAATTTAGCACCGTGAGGTTTCTGAGACTCGGCCAGAGCACTCTCCATGGCAGTATGAAAGGGACTGGGTGTGAGAGGAAGATTTAGATGGCAGACTTCTCAGTGCAAAGGTAAGACGGATGGGAAGGAACTATCCACTGAGGCTCCATACAGAAAGGATGGCTCAGCAGCCCTCCACTGGCCTGCACTGTTCCTTCACCATTGCTACATGGCAGAGGCTCATTCCAAACATTCCTTCCTAAGTTTTTACTGGGCTGTGTCCAGCCATCTGTGGCCCTTCCCCCAGCCAAGAAACATCCTGGGGAGACAGAGCCGGGAAGGTGGCCATTCCCAGGCCCTCCACTGGGTGCATGGTCCAGTTCCCTGGTGTTGCATGGAACTTCTCAGGCTCAGGCTGTGCCACACTTGTCCCTATACGCTCCAAGCTTCTCACCCAATCTCACTCTCCCTTCGGGTTGTTCTCTCATCATCTTCTCTGTGCCACAGGCTGATGACAAACTATGTGACCTTCGTGGTTGGGGAGATCCTGCTGCTGATCCTGACCATCTGCTCACTGGCCGCCATCTTTCCCCGGGTGAGAGGCTCTTTTCTGTCGGGCTCGGAAGCTTCTGCAAAACTGAGTACTGATGGAGTTATGCTTCCTGGCAAATCCTGACAGTCTGTTAGGACAGTTCCCCCCATTTTACCCATCTGCCCATCCATCCATCATCCACTGCCCACCAGCTGGGCGCCCCCACCCCAGGCTGGGCTCAGATGGGCCACGGCTCTGCCGCACACAGAGGAAAGGCAGTCTGGATAGAGGGAAGCCCAGGTAAAAGGCAGAGAAGGCCCAACCAGAAGGGGTGGGTTGGCTCCAGTTGTGAAGAACATTAAAAGCCAGCCTAGCATTAGGACTCTGCTGCAGGCGCTCAGGTGCCTGTTTCTGATGAAATGACAAAAAGCAGTGTTTTAGGAAAAATGATTTTGGTGGTTTTCCAAGTAACTAGGGAGATTTAGGTGTACTGACCCAGGAAAAGCAGGGGAGGTGGCGAGGCAGACTGTCCCTACAAATGTTTCCCTGCCCTTGCCTGGGACTTGGCACTGCTGGGTGGTGCTGCCGGGTGGTGCTGCCCTAGCCTCCTAGGACAGGCACTGTGTCTGCTGTGCCAGCATGTGGCCCAGAGGCCATGGGATCACACACACACCTTGAGGGCTCTGGACTCCTGCTCTTCCATCTTCGGCACAGCCTCACCGTCAGTTTCCTGGTGAGCTCGCAGCAAGGCATTACTTAGGTTCCCGATCCTAGCGTATGGGAGCAAGGAGTCGTCAGCAGCCACGTGTGCAGGACAAAAGCAGTCAAAGGCTCACGGCCCCTGCAATTCCATTCCTCTTAGGCCTTTCCTAAGAAGCTTGTGGCCTTCTCAACTTGGATTGACCGGACCCGCTGGGCCAGGAATACCTGGGCCATGCTGGCCATCTTCATTCTGGTTATGGCAAACGTCGTGGACATGGTAAGCACCTGCCGGGGTCCACCTGGTGGAGAAGGGCTTGTGTACTGGCAGCCATTCATCTGCCAGCAGATGCAGGGTGGTGCCTAGGTTCCTAACAATTATCCCAGCCAAATGGAGGTCTTCCTGCTATTGCCCAGGGAAACTCCAACAAGACTGTTCGCGTCCTTTCAGCTCCTCCCTCTTCCAGAGTCCAAAAGCCCAGTTCATTGCACCATCCTGGGCTAGGTGCATTAGTACCTGCACTTTCATATTTAGAAACCAAGCCTCAGAAAGGTTCATTCACTTGCTCTAGGCCACACAGCTGTCAGTCGTGAATTGGAGTTCTAAATCCCAGTCCTAGGCTTCCAGATGTGCAGATAAGCACTCCACATCTGAAGCATGCCTTACAGTGTAGCTGGTGCCAGGTGTCCGTGGGGGCCGGGGAGGTAAACCTTTGCTGTCAAGGGCATGCTTCTGTACTCTCTGCACCAGGCCTTCCCAAAGGTGGGTCTGCGGACAGCACTTCACAGGGCCCAGTGGCCAGGGTCAGGCCAAATCACCTTCATCCTCCGCTGTCCTCAGTTCCTGGAGAAGCTGGGGTTCCTGTGAGCAGGCAGCAGGTGCTTTCCTGGGGAGAAGGCCCAGGTCAGAAGACCAGATCTGCTGATTTTGAGCCACAGGCATTTATTGAGCACTGGTGCACGGAGCTGTTGCTGATGTTCTCATCAGCCCTCACAGCTTCCTCCACATTTGGTAGTTCTGTGTGCACACTCTTAAATTAAGTCTTTTAGCTGGGCATGATGGCACATGCCTACAGTCTCAGCACTCTGGGAGGCTGACACAAGGTGGGTCACCAGTAGGAGCCCAGGCCAGGCAACCTAGCAAGACCTTATCTCAAAATAAAAAACAAAGGACTGGGCCCAGGATCTAGCTCAGTGGTTCCGCCGCCTGCCTCGAAAACGCAACGTCCCAAGTTTGATCCCCGGTACCCAAAAATAAATACATAGATAGATAAATAAATAAATAAATAAAACAAAGGACTGGGGTGCTGGGGATTTAGCTCAGTGATTCCAGCACCTGCCTTGCAGGTGCAAGGTCCCAAGTTCGATCCCCCATACCAAAAACAAAAAACAAAAAACAAAGGACTGGGGATGTAGCTCAGTGCAGAGGCCCTGGGTTCCATTCTCAGTACCACCAAAGGAAAAAGAAAAGTCCCTCTTAAAAATGTTATTATTTGCTGTGTTTCTTTTAACAATTTAAGAACAGGAATAAAATCAGCAGGGAGACATTCTGGCAGTGGTGTAAGTGACAAAGCTCTGTGGCACAACCAGTCCACATTAGTCTGACAGGAGTGAGGAGTTAGTTCCAGAGCCAACCGTCATGGCACACCTGAGGCTGGTGCCCAGATCTGGGACCACTGTTTAACAAGGTGATCGATGCTGTGCAGGACGTGTGCAGCGGGCATCACCCAGGCAGCAGTGGGAAGCTAGAGATGCGTGAGAATTCTGTATCAGCTAGAAATAGTGCCAAGACCTTGCCCAAAGCCAGATGAAAGTTAAAAAAAGTTTTTTTTGGTTTACGGATGCACTGTCTGTTGACTACATCTGCCCTTTGATACAACCAATGAACAGACTCCAGAAGGGGGTGAGCTCCCCAACTACAGTTTGGGCAAGACTGGCTTTTGCCACGGCAACAGAGGCCCCCACAGACACTCCTGCAGCAAGTTTAATATATGTGCTGGATGTGAAGCTTGAAGGCCTGGTTCCTGGTCACGCTTTGGCACCTGCTAATTGTGTGACTCTGGGCAGGTCTAGCCCCTGAGTTTCTGTGAAAATAGTGAATTTTGCTGAACGTCAAATGAGATGATGGTAAAGCTAAGCTCCTCTTACATGATTTATTTGCTGGTAAATTTCCCACCCTTCTCAGTGTTTCTGAAGAGGGGCGCAAGGCAGGGCAGCTGAATGGCCACTGCCACGTGTAGCCCTGACTCTGCCATTACCTTTCCTGCCCCCTCCCACCTGTCCCGCCTCCAGCTTAGCTGTCTCCAGTACTACGCAGGACCCTACAACGGGACGGCAGAGCTAGAGCTAGAGGGCAGCTGCCTGGAGAACCCCAAGTATTACAGCTACATCGCCGTGCTGTCCCTCATTGCCACCATCATGCTGGTGCAGGTCAGCCACATGGTGAAGCTTACACTCATGCTGCTGGTCACGGGCGCAGCGGCCACCATCAGCCTCTACACCTGGTGCCCTGTCTTTGATAAATACGACCACAAACGCTTCCAGGAGCATGCGTAAGCTGAAACCTGACATGGTCTCCCCCCACCCCAAGTCCTTCTCTGCCCTGGGGCTGTCACTCATGTGGACTAAGGGCTCATGTCTTCTCAGACATGTCACTGGTTGGCTGTGATGTGGCAATAGTGCTTTTCACCTCAGTGAGTGAAGATGGGAAACCTCAGAGGTCGGTGGGCATGGCCTCCTGTCCCAGGTGCGGTCTGAGTGTTACTTTCTCCGACAGCTTTCCCATGGTGGCCTCAGAGAAGATGCAGGTGCTTTCCACCCCTGGGCTCAATGGCACAGACAGGTAAGGTCTACTGCGTTCCCTCATCCTGCATTTGTAGCGCTTCCTCTGGAGACTGAATTCAGCAGGCCAACCCCCAGGATTCAAGGCGTATGATCTGCAGTGTACAGGCTGGAAGAGTGGGCATGTGTTTCTGCAGGAGGGCTGGGTGGAGGCAGAGAGATTCTAGCCTGGACACCAGCCCAGGGCTCACCTGCACCAGGGTGGGGAGTAGTGTGGGTGGAGGTGGGCCGAGGGTGGGTGCAGGTGAGGCGAAGATGGCCAGGCAGGTCATAAGCTGTGCTGAGCTGGCTGCTAGGACAGACAGCAGGAGAGTGAGGAGGAAGGTACTGCAAGGGAAGATCTGGCTCGAACCCACAGCGGTCAGTTGTTCTCTGTGGGATCAAAGGCAGGCCAGCTGTATGGGATCTCAGTTTCATCTCTTGAGAAGGACATTGAAAGAAGAGGTTCTCTAAGATCCTTTCTAACTCTACAGTGTAGCATTTTATAATTCACTGATTGAATAGACCTTCAAGTATGGTTTTTTTTTTTTTTAAAGGCGTAACTTAATGGAGGGTGAATAGAAGACTCAAATAGGCCCTTTACAAAAGAAGTCTCACTAATAAAAGGCATTCAAATAATCAAATGCAAATTAAAACCATAACAAAATACCATTACACAATGGCAAAAATTTAAAAATCTGAGATCAAGTTTAATGGTAACTCATGCATGCCTGGTGGCAGTATAAACTGGTAGAACCACTTTGGAAACAATTTGGGGTTATTTAGTAAAGCTGAAATAGTCCTGTGACTCAGCAATTTCACTTGTACCTATACATGCCTTAGAGAAATTCACGCAAATGTGTATGTCCAGGGGCTGTGTATAAGTGTAGGGAACAGGGAAAGTGGATGTTACCAGAAACCCTGCAGTGGGCCCTGGTCTCCTGTGAGCCACAACAGCACAAGGCGAATTCAAGAATAAAGACAGGAAATGATACTTAGAGAAGAAGCTGAGCTCTGGGCCTCACCAATGCTATTCTGGGCAGCAAAGACAAAGGCACCCCGAGCTTGCCACTATTTCTTGGGTTCATTGAGGGTAACAGATGACTCAGAGGGCGATGGTAATCCTAAAAGCATGAGGATATTATGCTGATGAGGGTCTTAGGTTGACTAGGATGGCAAGATGAGCAAAGACATTCTTACAACAGTAGATGCGATGAGTTAAGCTGATAAGGAATTTACCCCTCCCCAAATGAGACCTCTGATGTAATCTTGCCTTTGAGGATCACAGCATCATGGGACCACTGAGGTCTCAGCTGTAACCGGAGGCAGAAATGGAGTTATGTTTCGGCATGATGTAGCCGGCCTGTGGGCAAAAAGCCTAGGCTTAATCATAATTTGTGAAATGATTTTTCCCCAAAATTATGTAGGCTTGCTCTTGACATAAGAACATCCATCGTACTATTGTTTACAATACATAGACATAGACACACGCACACACACACCAAAATGGAAACAACCCAAATGACATCAACAGGAAATGGATAAACTGTGGTATATTCGTACAGTAGAATACAGTAGTAGAAATTAACTATAGCGCCACACAAAAATATGGATAAAGTTAGAAAAAGCCATGTTAAGATTGTGCCCTAATCCCTGTGAAATCCCAGCACTACTGGTTTTTCCCTTCTTCAGTCCTACATGCTGGTAGCCATTTCTGGGATCCATCAGGTGCTACAGTGGCTATTAAGTATCCCAGAGTCTGCCCTGATGTAAATTCCTCAGATAGCCAGGAGAGGCCAGGGCTGGCTGGTTAGATAGAAGCCCAATGGCCTAAGAAAGCTTACTGCCCCCAGGGAATCTGGACTTAATATGAAGGGGCCTTAGAGGGTAGGGGCAGTTTCTGAGACCTAGTGTGACAGAAAAATCACCCAGTTAGAGGGGTTCCCCTTTCCAGGAGGGTAGCATGGGTGCTCTTTCAAGTTATCTTCCTTGCCAGCAGGCTGCCCCTGGTACCTTCGAAGTACTCGATGACAGTGATGATACTCATCATGATGCTGAGCTTTTACTACTTCTCCCGACACGTGAGTGCCCATACCATCCTATCCTCCTGTGCCCAAACCTCCCAGTGTCCGAAGGCCAGGCTCCTAAGGAATGCTGGTTCCTTTACTCAGCATGCTGTGCGACCTTGGGCAAGCCACTGCCTTCTCCATGTTCTGGTTTCTTCCTCAGTAATTGAGCAAAACACTTCATCCCTGACTTTCAGGAGCCTGAAGGATGTATGGGAGGTAGGGGACAGGGTGCTGGCATAAAAGCCTAGATAAATCTATTACTTAGGCCAGGGCTGAGGGCTTCTGCACTCACCCTGCTGTGGAGGGAGGGCGTGTGCACACACATGTGCGCGTGCACACACACACACACACACACACACTCTGGAGCCAGAGGAGAATGGGAAGGGAACTGAGGAAGTTTTCGTGGTTAAAAAGAGAAGGGAAGGTATCCATACAAGGACTCCATGTTAGCTTGGGTGCCGCCTAGTGGCGTGCTGGGGGAAGTACAGCCTTCTTGAGCCACTTCTCTGCCAAACGGAGTAGGGGCAAATGGGGACCTTGCCCTGGGCTGGGAGATCTTGGCGCCCCCACCCAACAAGACAGACCTGCAGCTAAAATTAGGACCCCGAGGCTCCTTATACATGTGAACACCTGCTGGATCTCAGTTGTAACCACAGAGGCTGGGATCCTCACTTGCTGTGGGGCATGAATCCTCCAGGGTTTTTACTTTCCTTGCTATTTACACACCTTTCAGTTTTTCCAAATTGATCCCCTTCCTTTAAGTCCCGTTCTTGATCTTTCCTTAAACAACCAGCTTTAGAGCATATACCTACCTTGCCTATGCCTGTATCTCTAGGTGGAAAAACTGGCACGAACACTGTTTTTGTGGAAGATTGAGGTCCATGACCAGAAGGAACGTGTGTATGAGATGCGACGCTGGAATGAGGCCCTGGTCACCAACATGTTGCCTGAGCATGTCGCGAGGCATTTCCTTGGGTCCAAGAAGAGAGATGAGGTGAGGTGAGGGGGGGAGGCCTATAGGCTGGGCCCAGGAGCCCAGCCACTGGTCTTCATGTGTTCTTCCTCCTGGGAGCCCCCTGGGCCCATCCCTAAGCAGCAGCATTAGCAGCAAAAGGGGACTTCCATGCTCCTTGTGGAGGGCAGCTGCAGACCCCACTCACCTAACCACAGCCCTGAGGCCCCACGCACAGGATGGGACCTGGCCAGTGTCTCGGTTCTGTCAGTGTGACCTTCTGAAAGCAGCATGGGGTCACCAACTCCACTGAACCCTCCTTCTCAAAGTTGGGTTGTTACAAGAGCTTGGAGAGCTGTTTTTCATTTATTCAGAGGTGTGATGAGGTATTCTCTAAGTATTCAAAACTGGGATATCTGAGATATGTCTGGGTCCAAAAAGTGTCTGGGTCTGAGCATACACATTGTATGTGGTGAAGACAGACTTGCTTCTCTAGCACGCACGGGCCCTGCCTCTTTTTAGGAGCTGTATAGCCAGTCCTATGATGAGATTGGAGTCATGTTTGCCTCTCTGCCCAACTTTGCTGACTTTTATACTGAGGAGAGCATCAATAATGGTGGCATCGAGTGTCTGCGGTTCCTCAATGAGATCATCTCTGATTTCGACTCTGTGAGTGCCCTCCTGCCCCTCCTGTCACAGCGCTAACCCATCCTAGATCACCTCTCAGGACAGAAGTCAAAAGGAAGTGAGTGGTTGTACAGTGGCTACATTTTCCTGTCATATTTGTGCTTCTGCAGCCATCTAGAACTGCTTGGGCTGAGGGGTGCATGGGAGCCTGGGAATCACGGGATAAAGACTGGCCAACAAGACCCAGAGGTGCCTGGACTCCTCCTACCCTCAAACTCAGATTCAGTGAACACTTATTGAGTACCATGTACACCAGGGAAAATGTCCTTACACATGTGCTCAGTTAACCCAGGAGAGTTGGCAGTTTTATCTGTGATAAGTTGTAGAAACTAAGCCTCAGAAAGTTAAGTCAAAAACTGTGTGGCAGATAGGTGTAGAATAAATAAAGCTTTTCTAGGAAAGCATCTCCTGGATGCTTTGTGGGATTCTTGTATATGGGCAAATCTATTAGTTGACTCATTCGTCTCCTTGACTGCTGACAATCCTCTTTGCTTAACCCTGGCCTCAGCTCCTGGACAACCCCAAATTCCGGGTCATCACCAAGATCAAAACCATTGGCAGCACCTATATGGCAGCTTCAGGAGTCACCCCAGATGTGAACACCAATGGCTTCACCAGCTCAAACAAGGTAAAGGGGCTGGAGAAAGGGGTCAGCATTCTGCCTGGGGAAAAGAGATAAGCAGCCTCTGGTTTGCCCAGAACCAGAAAGTGGGAAATGAGAAATTACAAAGGTAAATGAGAAGTCATTTTGTACTGTCACGTAAGGGCTCAAGACACATACCAAGAGCACACACAGCGCAGACACAAGAGGCTCACTGAGAAGGTCTAATGAGTAGAGCAATAGCACAGCACAGACAAAACCCATTACTGTTCTGAAGGGTAGGGCTAGGAGGGCTTGGGCATACTGTGACCATGCCTGTAAGGGTGGATACTTTGATGAGAACTGGGGAACAGGAGCCATTCCCACAGCTCATAATGAAAACTTACAGGGGGGACCCTGGGAACTCCCTGGCTGCTGTGGCCTGTCCTTCTGCTAAGCTGTTTAGTGTAGCCACTCTGTTTAGCTCCCAGAAGGATGGGAAATGAGCTCTGGGGGCCTGGTGCCAAACACTGTTCTTAAAACATCACCGTTTTACCCTTCTGACTGTCCCATAATGGCAGTAGTTGGCACCAGGCCCCCATAGCTCATTTCCTATTTCTGGGTGAGGTTAACAAAGCAGGGCAAGGGCCTCAGGCCTACAATCTACTTGAATCCAAACAAGGACGGCTACACAGAAATCTGAAGACCAGGCTCAGAGGGTGGTGAAGAGACTCGCCTCATGACTGGGTACACAACATGCAAAGCAACTAAGCTGAACAGGGTGTGTCTTCCCCACCACCATGGCCCAGTCTGCCCTAGGCCTGGTGTGAATTCTCTGCACAGTGGTACGCTGGAACCAAAGTGTGTACCTTTTTGGGGGGTGGGGGTGGGGGTACCAGGGATCAAACTCAGGACCTTGCGCTTGCAAGGCAGGTGGCGAAACCACTGAGCTAAATCCCCAGCCCCAATGCTGGAACCAAAGTGGTTGCTGACTTTGTGGGAAGGAAAGGCCACTAACAACTAGGTGTAGGAATAGCCCCAGAATGCTGCTACAGGAAAGGAGCAGGCTGCCACAGCTGCAGCCTGGACAGCTTCTGACGCTTTCACCACCGCTCAATATAGGAGGAGAAGTCAGACAAGGAGCGTTGGCAACACCTGGCTGACCTGGCGGACTTTGCCCTTGCTATGAAGGATACGCTTACAAACATCAACAACCAGTCCTTCAACAACTTTATGCTGCGCATAGGTAAGGAAGACCAGAGGCTCTGGAAGACTGGAGGCACATGGGGTGGGGAAAGGTGCCTTACGCTCACGGAGCAACTGGAGACCTGAAAAGTAGTAATCTTTTGGTGTCACATCAGACACCTGAGTGATGAAATGGTCAAGCTAGACCTGTCACTATGATTAGTGACAGCCTGGCCTTACTGCTGAACCTGACCACAAAAACAGTCTGTTGCCTGACTCTCCAAGGTCTAGCGCCTGCTGAGCCCTCTGCTCTTTTCAGACCATCCTGCCCTTCAAGGGAGGTAACATCACCTGCTACTTCCTACTGGGGGGGAGGGGGGTCGCTCCTTCTGAGCGAGGCTGCAGGAACTTGAAGTACCAGGTGTGTTGGGGAAGCTGTCCACTGCCATCCTGAGCACATTAACTAGCATGCCGGAGTAGCTTGCTAAGTTCTTGGTTGAGGACAGGGTGAACAGGAGACATGACTTAAGGAATACAGGGTGCCACATCACCAGCTTTGTGATGAGGGTTGGGGGCAAGCGCTCTAAGAGTGGCTGCTTCTGAGAGGGTAATGGAGGCTTGGCATGTGATTGTGCTGAACTTTATGCCTCCTACCCCAGGCATGAACAAAGGAGGGGTTCTGGCTGGGGTCATTGGAGCCCGGAAACCACACTACGACATCTGGGGCAATACAGTCAACGTGGCCAGCAGGATGGAGTCCACAGGGGTGATGGGCAACATTCAGGTATGTCTAGCAACAGAGCTGAGTGTCCTCGGATACAGGGACTAGGGCAAAGGAAAGCAGAACAGTGTGTAGTCTCCTATGTGCTATTGCCTCCTGCCGCTGGTCCACTATGCAGTGCTGGCAGTGCTGAAGGCCTGTGGAGGGGAGAGGCCTCTGCAGCCTTAACAGCAAGGAGCGCCTCTACCTCACCTCCTCCTCTATAACACTTAGGTTTAACTTCTGGGGGAGATAAGCCAGGCTTGGTGGCACTTTCTGATATTTTTGTGTCAACAGTAGCTTCCCCTGAAGCAACCCCAATTTCTTGTCAGCTGGGCCTGCCAGAAAAGCTCCACAGAATGGACGGGGTCAGCAAAGCAGGGAGGGAAGGGCCTGGGCCATGTGCCACATGGGCAGCCTGAGGACTGTCTTTGGGAAGCAGAGGGCTCTGGAGCTGTCACCCTGGGTTCCATGTCCCTCACCCTGTCCCCTCTGGGGCGCTGGGACAGAGCCCCTGTGCCGACTGGTCTAGGCTCCCTCCCTGACCAAGCTCTCTTACTGTTCTCTGTGTGCAGGTGGTGGAGGAAACACAAATCATCCTCCGAGAGTACGGCTTCCGCTTTGTGAGGCGAGGTCCCATCTTTGTGAAGGGGAAGGGAGAGCTGCTGACTTTCTTCTTGAAGGGACGAGACAGGCCACCTGCCTTCCCCAATGGCTCCTCCGTTACACTGCCCCACCAGGTGGTGGACAACTCCTGAATGGGCTCTGGCCCCACAACGATCCACATGGGAAGGGAGAATTTATTTTTTGGAACTGAAGAAAGGCATCGGGAAATGGCAAATGGCCAAGTCCCAGTGTTCTCGAATTGCTGAAGTGCACAGTCCCATAGACTTTAGGTTCAAGAATCTCAAGCCTTCATCTGTTTGTGGATAGGTGAGCTCTGAGGGTGGCCATACTATTCCTCAGTGTGCCTATAGCTTCCCCAGAGTAGGAGTCTTAGGCATAGTACTGGAACAGCCCTTCTTCCCCAGAGAGGCCACTGTGAGCAGGAGTGGAGCAGAGGTGGGACACGGCTGCCTGTGCCGCCGGGCTGGGAGCACAGATGGGGTGCTCTGCTGCAGATGGGGCCTGGCAGGGCTGGCACTGCTGGAGGATGCTGCACTCCTGGCTGGAACCTGACAGTATGCTGTTGTGAAGGGAGCTTCCCAGAGACCTGGCTGTCTCCACATGGTCCCAGTTAGATTAATTAAGCAGCCCTAGTCCTGATGTTCCTGATAATCTTGAAAGGTTCTTCTGGAACCCTATCACCTTAGTCATGAGAGCAGAAAGTGCAATATTTCCTTTCACCTGGTTGGGGGGGGGGGTTATTTCTGAAAGAAAATTATATAGACAGATCTTCTACATTTATATTTTTAACCTGTTAAAAACACTTTCCAATATTGCCTTGCCTTTTGAGCTCTTGCTACAGTCGCCTTTGCTACTGCTTTAAAAGAATTTATAGCTATTGACAAAGAACAAGACTGTTTTATTAAAAGCTTTACTCAACTTAAATGGGAGCACTGTGAAAATCCTTTTGGTAAGTACTCTGCAGACTCAAACCACTGGTCCTTACCACATGCCTAGAAGGCAAGAGCTTGAAGTGAGATATTACTTTTATTCTTAAGCTGCTTTCTTCTAAAAAGCAGCCAAGCTGATTTACTGTCCCCAGAGTGTAGTGGGGCACCCACATAGTCCACAGCCTTGTGACCCTGTGGTCTAGAAGTGGCCATTTTTGAGTGATATCTGATACTAGACAAAGATGGGAAAACTTGACCAGCCAGCCAAAGGCTGATCCTAAGCCAAGGAGAAAGTGCCAGCACATTGCAGGCTCCAGGTTAGAGAAACACTATTCTACAAAGCCTAGGAGATGGGGATGAAGATTTCATAGTCATGGCCTGGAGTTTGCAGGAGGAAGCCATGAAGGAGGGGGCCCTGCTTACCTTTTCAGCAATGACTGAATTTATGCGCAGATTTCTAATTGTGCTTTCTCAGAGTGACTTCATATGTTTAGCTTTTATCAAACAGTATTTTACCACACCATAAATTCCTTACAAAACAGTGGCCTAGAATATACATTGCTCCAAACCAAAGATTAAATACATTTCTTTTAAGTACATGACCTGCATATCATGAATCTAGACTCTTCTAAGAACTTCCTTTTCAAAAGTCTTAGGAAAATGAGGCAGAAATATTAAAAGCTCCCATACACACTAGAAATTCTCTAGCCTTTCACAAAATGTCTTCTGTTGGCCTACAAACCATTTTGATTTTCAGCTAAAATATATGATCAAATATCTCAGAAGAACACATGATCTTCAGCATTATAACAAGTGACCAGACAAAAACTGTGCAAAAATTTCAGTGTCTAAGGATTCAAACTTACACCTTGTCATCCTGATGAAGCAACAGGTGTTGTCACGGTGAGGATGGTGCCTTGACATAGCATGGGTCTTTTGGCAGTTTGCAGGTGTAGGTCTCGCCATTCACCGCAGATGCTTCCCCAGCAGAAACAGCATGTTAAGAGGCCAGGCTCAAATCCAGCTCCTCTTCTCTTGCAAATGAAGCAAATACCTGATGCAGGGGCTTGGTGCAGAATAAAGCTTCATGGGATGCCCGCTGCTCTTCCCTCAAAGCAGACAATGCTTCTGTCCCTAAAAGAGAGTCTATTAATCTCAGTGCAGCTGGGGGAATGAAAACCTGGATGGTCACTACTCTGGACCCATATAATCTTTTCTTGTCTGGAGCTGAGAGGCTGCCCCTTATGGGACCAATTTTGAGACCACAGACTTAAAGCAGACTCTACCCAAGAAATCTAAAACCTAAGATGTGAGACTTGTGGCACTTTCCAAATTTCTGCCTCCTAAAGACATTTTATCCCAGTTTTTTCATTATTGCCAATGTCATACTATGACACATTTAACTGAAAGAAGTCCACCAAAAAAAGTCCTCTTGGCCAGCCCTGAAAAATTCCCATTTAGAAAAAAGACTCTAGAGAGCTAAGCATATCCTGGTGTGTAATGTCTGTTTGGCTTCGCTGCAGAGTAAGTCTTTTCACTCCACTCACCATAAATGAACCTATCACTCAGCCTTAGCTGTCCTCCTGCAAGAGATGGTCTCCCATAAAAACAAATCATAAACTTAAAGAACATGGGCAGAGGCAGGGGGACTAGGATTATGTTTACCATTTACAGAGGAAAGGAAACACTGGTAGGAATGAAATATTCTTTGTATCTTAATGAGTAAATTTATACTATGTAAAAAGAAGAAAGTGTCTCAGAGGTCCACTTGATAGATGGCACCTATTTACCTGTTTCGCTCAAGCTGATGAGTGGAGCATATGACAGTACTTCTCGGCGTGGCCATCCTTCCTCTTACCTTGGTATGTAACAGTGGCATCAGTTGGAAGAGTTGCAGTGAGGTCCTTATACAGCAATCTGGCACAAAACGAGGACTGACCCATCAGGTCCACTTTGTAAGTAAACGACAGCAAGTTGCACAGGGAGTTTCTTTGCAAGGGTCTGATCAAAAAGGCTGCAAAGTCACTCTGATGGGTGAGAGATAAACCAAGTGCATGATGACTGTCGCTCCAAAGGCAATCCAAAGTGGTTGTAACACTTCAAACATATCTACCAAGAGGCGGCCTTTTAATTAAATTTCAGAGAAAAAAATGGGGAACAGAAAAAGGACTGAAAGAAGCACAAGAATATAAGATAACTAACCCAGGCATAGTGGTGCATGCCCATAATTCCAGCTACTTGGGAAGCTAAGACAAGAGGACCACAGGTTTGAGGCCAGCATGGGCAATTCAGCAATACTCTGTCTCAGAAAGGGCTGGGAATGTAGCTCAGTGGCAGAGCGCTTGCCTAGCATGTACAAAGCCCCATGTTCAATCCCCAGTACTGCCAAAAAAGAATCTCTAGGAGCCCATGACAGCCTGGTAAGCTGCAGGAAGATACCATTTCTGCCAAGAATTCTGCTGAGATCACTGTATATGGTCAGATGCTTCATGTCTGCATTATCCACTTGAAGTTGAGCTGACAACTGGGAACCTCAGTCAATCCAAATGTACACGGGGGTAAGGCTAAGCTTAAAAAGGTCACTTTTCTGTATCGGCCTTGGTTTCCTGTCTGTATCTTTCACTCCAAACTTAGCTCAGCTGCCATCCTAGGGAGGCCAGAGTTAAGGATAAGACGATAGCATTCCTCTATGGTATCTACCTCCAAGGCCCAGCAAGTACCTACATATGGTAGGTGCTCTTAAAAAAATCCTTGCTGAATTAAAGAATAGCACCTGTGCTTCACTACCTTGTGATAAAGTTTGAAGACCACAACCAAGAGTACATAATCCCTTAACCGGGATCCACACTGTAATATCATCTAAAGTTTCAAAGGGGTTAAAAAAAAAAAAGTACAAAATAGCTTGTCTGAAAATAAGAAACAAGTATTAAAAAACACTTATGTTTCAGAGTTAGAAACATTTAAAATTCAAAAAAGAGAATCTGTCCCTCTGTTTTCCTTTTAAGTCTATCTCTGGCCCCATAGAATGAGACATACAGTACCCTAAGAAATACCTGAAGTCGGTCTGCCTGGTACTTCCTCCCAGCATAAGCGTTTAGGGACTCGCATAGACTGAACAGGAAGCGCTGAACATCAGTCTGTAGGTACTTTGCAGCTATCTTTTCTAGAGGAATGAAGACTGGAATGGAATGGTGATGGATCCAGAGCGGTCTCTGTATGACAAGGTCCACAAAGTAGGAATCCAGTAGGTTCCCCTCAAAAGCAGTGCTGATGCAGACACAGACTCCTCGGCTAGTCTGTTTTCCGCTGAGCCCTGAGGCAAAGGATCAGACAATACCTCTCAAAAGATGCCGGGCAAAGGCACCTGACTCACCCAAGCCTCCCAGCTACCGGTACAAGGCCTGACACACAGACATGATGATGCTTCTTGAGTGAGAGAGATTTGAGTGCTTCCCCTCGGCTCCAGCTCACATTGAGACTGAGTTGTTACAACCATGGAAGGGCACGGTGGCACACACCTGTAACCCCAGCACTCGGAAGGCTGAGGCAGGAAGATCACTGTGAGCAGGCCACCCTGGGTTACATAGTGAGATCAAGGCCAGCCTGAACTACACAATGAGACCTTGTCCACACCCACCCCAAAACCCCAAAACAAAAGAAGGATCGTAGGAAGAAAGGACACCCTATCAAATTATTAAAGAAAAAAATTGTGAAATTTTCAGTGTACCCATTCTCTCTTTTTGCCTGAGTGTCAAGTAACTTGTGACAGTCCCAGTTTTTCCCACAATCCTCTTGTGGCATAGATAGAATAAATTCCTGTTTACACTGAAACAGGGATGTGAAGAGTTCAAACTATTTGTAATATAAAGCAGGCCAGCAGTACCAGCAGTAAAGGAAGTTCTAGTACAGAGTCTAGCACATGAGGAGGGCTACAATGAATGGTGTAAGCCAGCCACCAACCGATCTGCTGTACAAAGTGGCCAAACTTCCAGGGAAATACGCCTATAAACCATGTGCTAGCTTTGTGTGTGTAATGTGGCTAAGGGGTGAAAATAAATTCTCATGAAATAAGTCCAGTCTAGTAAACTACTGTAACTCACTAAAGACAGAGACCCAGGATGAATTGGCTCAGAAAAACATTGTACCTGTAAAACGATATGCCTGCAGAATGGCTTTCACACTTTCCTGTTTCCTTTCCAAAACTTCCTGCTCTCCAATCTCCACTGTTTGGCCAGATTCTACGTTGGCAGAAGATGCTTTACCCTGCAAGATATGCAGCCAATCAAAGTGGGTACACAGGGTACACCTCAGAGTCTCTGGCCTCACCTGACTGGACAGAAGCAAAATGCAGTGTTTTCTATTATGTAGTACATCCAGAAAGTAGTCTACCTGTAGGCATCCAGCTGGTTCTATGAACTCACGGCAGAGGAATCTGTGGGCCATGCACCAGAAATCAGAGCAGATGCCACTAGATGAACAATTACGGTTTTGGTAGGAATGGAGAGAGGATTGTAGGAGGAAGGAGACTAGGATGAGCACAAGGTATGCAGAACAGACAGCTATGAAGAGGCGAATCTGATGAAAATGAAAGACAAAATCTTAAAGAGGTGGGGGGTGGGAGGACCCATCATGTTCAAATAAGGCTCGTTAGTACCTGAATATGTAAGACTAACACCTAATACCTGACAGAAGCCACGGATCTGGAAACAACAATGATATAAAGTACAAACAAAAATAACTTTGATTTACAAGTCTATACTCAGTGTAAAAATGAAAAATATAGTGAAAAATGTTTTCCAACAAACAAAAGCAGACTTTACTACAAACTGTTACACTTAAAGAAGTTCCAAAAGGAGCTGCTTAAAGGAAAATAATTCCAGGTAGAACTATGGAAATGCACAAATAAAGAGCACTGAGAAAGGTGTGTGTGTATAAGCCCTAAGAGAATACTGATGTACAAAATCAATAGTTCAGTAAAACAGTAATAGGTAGTGAGCTACAAATAATTACATTAAACATTCATGGACCAAATACTCCAATGACCATCAGGCCGGGTTAAAACATTTAATTATATGCTACTTACAGGAGCAATACCTTAACTACCAGGACACTGAGATTGCAAGGAGAAAAAAATGGAAAAATTTACCATGCAAGCCCTAGCCAAAAACAGTTGTGGGCTCGAGATGTAGCCCAGTGGTACAGTGTTTGGCTGGCATGTGCAAGGCCCTGGGTTCAATCTCTAGTACCTCCCCCAAGTTATTATTGTGCTAGCTGGGTGTGGTGGCACACACCTGTAATCCCAGTACTCAGAAGGCTGAGGCAGGATGATGCTGAGTTAAAAGGCAGCCTGGACTATAAAGTGAGTTCAAGGCCAACCTGAACTACATAGCGGGAGACCATGTCACCACAAAATAAAAACAGTTGTTGGGCTGGAGGTGTAGAGCACTTACCTAGCATGCACAAGGCCCTGGGTTCAATACTCACCACCACAAAAAAAAAGTAAAAATTGTACTTTCATTTTATAAAATGGACTTAAAGGCAAGAAGTTTAACTAAAAATGAGGACTATTTCATAATAAAAGGTTAACTCAACTAGGAAGACATAGTAATCCTTAATCTGTTTGGACCCAATACTGTACGTACAGAAAACCTGAATGAAAGAAGCAACAGATCCACAATCACAGAGCGGCGGCGGGTGGGCATTTTAACAAATCTCAGTAGACAGGTACATAAATCAGTAAGGATATAAAATATTCGGGCCGGGGATTTAGCTCAGTGGCACTGCACCTGCCTCCCAAGTATAAGGTCCTGAGTTTGATCCCCGGTACCAAAAAATATATATATATTGAAATAACATGATGGACACACTAGGCCTATTTCATATATATAGAAACATATATATAAAAAACCCTCAATTGATATACACAGGAGATTTACCAAAATACCACAAGGGATTCAAGCTATAAATCACTAACTAAAACAAATAACTAACAAATACTCAAAGTTTGGAAATTAAGTAATACACACCTAAACCCCAAAAGCTAAAGAAAATATCACAATGGAAATTTAAAATATTTTCAATTGAAATGATAGTGAAAATATGAAAAGACCTTGTGGGATATAGAGAAGGTACACCATGCCTAGAGGAAAACTTTATAATCTTTATACATATACAAAAAAGAAGTATTTATTTCAAGAAGTTAAAAGAATTAAATCCAAAGAGAGTAAAGCAGAAATCAATGAAAAAACAAAACTGATCAACAGAGAAATTAACAAAGCCCAAAGTTCTGAGAAAAGGCCCAAAAGTGATAAAATGGTGAGAGCAAGCACAAATTAGTAATATCAGAATAAAAAATAAGATAGCAGTGATAATCACATTCACAAGACAGTAAGTTTTAAAAGTTTCAAACAACTTTAAATGTGAATGTTTCTATGAAATTGAAAAATTCTTTGAAAAACACAATTTACCAAAAATGACCTAATAAATCCTAAATTTTATGCTCAGCAAAGAAATTGAATCAGAAATTCAAAATTGGGCCCACAAAAAAGGCCCAGGAGCTGGGCGTTGAGGCACACACCTATAATCCTACCACTGGTTAGGCTGAGGTAGGAGGATCATGGAGAATTTGAGGCCAGCCTGGACTATATAGTGAGACCCTGTCTCAAAACAGCCAGGGGGCTTTACTAGACAATTCTTTTTTTGGTTTTTTTGAGACAGGGTCTCCCTATGTAGCCCAGGCTGGCCTCAAATTCACTGTGATCCTCTCACCTCAGCCTCCTAAATGCTGGGGTTACAGGCATGCACCACCACACCTGGCTTAACAGAAATCTTTACAAAACTTAAGGAAAACAAGCCCAACTTCATATAAAATCTTCTAGAGAAAATGTATAACGGATATTGGGAAATGGGAAGAAAGTGTTCAAATGTGAAAGGGAAAAAGGGACGAGGGAGGGAGAAAGGAAGGGATAAAAAAAGTGAAAATAGAAGGAAAAAAGGGAAACAAAGCTTTTATACATAGGGAGGGGAGGGGGCTTGAGGGAGGAAATGGGATAAAATTTTTAAAAATAGGCTGGGGATTTAGCTCAGTGGTTTCGCCGCCTGCTGCGCAAGCATAAGGACCCAAGTTCGATCCCCAGTACAAAAAAAAAAAAAAAAAAAAATCTTCCAGAGAATAGAAAAAGAAGGAAAATCTCTCACCCTGGTTTCTGAGACCACCAAAGCCTGACATGGTCACTATGAGAGAAAGGAGACAGACAGGCAGACAGGCAGACAGGCAGGCAGGCAGGCAGGCAGGCAGGCATGAAGAGACAGAGATGGGGGCTATCTCTCTCATGAATTTAGATACAAAAGTCCTATTAGTCTATCAGCAAATCGGATACAGCACTACCTAAAAGGATAATTCGGTACATCAATCCAACTTAGGTTTAATAAAGTATGGATAGTTTCTCATTCAAATGTCAATTAATATATTTTGCACCCTAATAAACTAAAGGAGAATACCGTAAAGTCACCTTAATATCTGCCATAAAAACACTTGATAAAATTCAATACTTAAAGCCAGGCATCGCGGGGCATGGCTGTAATCCTAGCATGGAGTGGGGGGCAGTGCTGAGGCAGCAGGAGGATCACCATGAGTTCAAGGCTAGCCTGGGCTACATAGTAAGTTCAAAGCCAGCTTGACCTATATAGTGAGACCCTGTCTCAAAAAAACCAAAACCAAAACCAAAACAAAAATAATCAAACTTGATCATGATTAAAACTCTTAGCAAACTAGAGTATTTCTTTAATAAAGAGTATCTGTACTAAATTTACAGCAAAAAAGCTATGACTATTTCTACTCAACAACCTAACAGATTATCTTGGCCAGTGGATTAGGTGAAAAAAATAAAAGTTACAAGCATTGGAAAGGAAGTAAAACTGTTATTGTTTAAACATGCTTAACTCCAAATGTAAAAATTCTAGAATAGATTGGGTGTGTTCAGAGTGATATGGCTGTAGACATCCAAATGTAAAAATTCCAAAGAACAGAAAGACAAACTTAAAATATGCGGCCTTAGCAAAGTTGCCTTACAGACAGTCAAATGTATTTCTATACAACAATTAGAACATAAAACTTATTAAACATAATACTATATATAAGGAATCAGGGGCCAGGGATTTAGCTCAGTGGTTCTGCTGCCTGCCTCGCAAGCACAAGGTCCTGAGTTTGATACCCGGTACCAAAAAAAAAAAAAAAAAAAGAAATTTCAGCTATATATGAGGAATCATCAAACTATAGCTTGTGGGTCAAACCCAACCATGTGCTTTTTTTGTAAAGAAGGTTCTGCCAGCCTACACCACACCGTTTTACCTACTGTCTTTCACATTACAATAGCAGAGCAGCTGCCACAGATTGTATGGATCAAAAGAAGCCTAAAATTTCTGGTCCTCCATAGAAAAAGCCTACTGTCTGTCCTCTGCCACATGCAGTAACATGAAGATTAAATATATACGGGGCCAGGGATTTAGCTCAGTGGCACCGCACCTGCCTTGCAAGCACAAGGTCCTGAGTTTGATCCCCGGTGTTGGTGGTGGGGATTAAATACATAGTCTGCCCAAAAAATGTATACATACTTCACGAAAAGAAAAACTTGTATAAATATTTCAATACGAAGGACCTTCGCTTGGCAGGCAGGCGGCGCCACCACTGAGCTACATCCCAAGCCCTACACCAAATTTGAGACATCACAAGATTAATATGTTACCTTTGGCCTCTAAAATTACAAGAGGTGCTCAAAGTGGTAGCCATTAGCTTCTAGATATTAGCACAGTGCACTACTGCTTGGGTAACCTTGGCCACTGAGATTGCTGCACGTTTTTTCAATTTCTTCTCTAAGGGCTGGCAGTGGAGTGGGTTTCCTGCAATACATGACATCCTCTAGGGTCCCCCATAGGAGGGTAACATCATCTCTTGAAAAGACATCATACTATCTTTCTTCTCCTGAAGTGTGTATACATTTTTTGGTGGACTCTGTGTAAGCTTCAAGACCTCTACATATAAAACTATATGCATTACTGAGAAAAAGCACAGAACTGAAATGACGCAGGAAGGTATAGTGGGTCCACTGACCAGAGAGCACAGTTCTGTAGTAATGCACATTCTTCCCAAACTGATCTAGACTCAGTACCCTCCCAATGAAAAACCAGAAGGTTATTTTTGAAAAGTGACAGCTGACCCTCAAATTTATGGAAAATTCATGAGGCCAAGAGTTGCCAAGATAATTCTCAAGAGAAGAAAATGTATTATATGCATGTACTACAGGTACCACGACCTAATAGTATATATACCTCTGACTATTGCACAAAGACAGACAGATGGACCAATGGAACAGAGCAGAATCCAGAAACAGGCTCACTACAATATATGGGGGAAAGAGTAGCCTTTTCAAGGTCTGGATGAACTGATATCCATATAGAAAAACAAAAACAAAAACAAGACAAGGAGGACCTTGCCAGGTGTGGTGGCACACTCTTGTAATTCCATCACTTGGAAGGCCGAGGCAGGAGGATTGCCATGAGTTTCAGGCCAGCCTGGCCTACATAGTGAGTTCAAGGCTGGCCTGAACTACATAGCAAAACTGTCTCTAAAAAAGGGGGTGGGGGTGTGGGGGGGGTGGAGCCCTGGGATTTAGCTCAGTGGTTCCACCGCCAGCCTTGCAAGCGCAAGGTCCCAAGTTCAATCCCTGGTACCAAAAAAAAAAAAAAAAAAAAAAATGACCTCCATCCTACCACACATACACACACACACACACACACACACACACACACACACACACCCCTATTCTAGATAATTCTACACTAGAATTCTAGAATTGTAATTCTAAAAGATGAAACAATAAAGCTTAAAATAACACAGAACATTATCATGTTAGACAAAGACACTAAACAGGAAACGAGAACAAAGCAAATTCCTAACATGAATTTCATCAAAACAGATTGTCTTCAAAAAATGGAAACAAAGCCTTTGCAAATAGGGAGAGATGGAGGGGTTAAAGGGAGGACAGGGGAATGGGGAAAAAATAAGAACCAAGATACATCATGTGAAGGTACAAGATCCCAATGATGAATGTAAATGTATTGTATACCGAAAATGTACCAATAAAAGAATTTAAGAGGGAAAAAACCCCACAAAAACCAGATTGTCTTCATCAAAAAACACCATTATAGGGGCCAAAGATTTAGCTCAGTGGTTCTGGCGCCTGCCTCGAAAGCACAAGGTCCCCAGTTCAATCCCTGGTAACCCCCCCTAAAAAAAAAACACCATTAGAGAGTAAAAAGGCAAGCCAGTCTGAGGGAAGGTCCTAATATTTATATCCAACAAAGAACTAATATTCAAAGTATGTAGAGACTTCTGTAATCTAACAGACAGTAAACAATATTTTCAAAAGCCTTAAAAAGCACGCTTCACAAGAAACCTTTAAGTGTCTGATTATCAGTACTGTAACACTACAGTATCTGAGAAAGACTGGTTCCAGGACCCCAGCAGATACCAAAATCTGTTACATTATTATAATGATGTAAGGGTAGTTTTCCATTCAAACATCGATTAATAAATTTTACACCTTAATAAAGGAGAATCCCATAGGGTCACCCTAATGTCTGCAATAGAAACATATGGATGCTCAAGTCCCTTGCGTAAAAACGGACAGTATTTGCATATAACCTACATTACAATAATGGTGAATTTTTTAGAGACCAAGGGCCCAAACTGCAACCCAAACCCACTTATTTATCGCAAAGTGCCAACACTGCAATTAAACTTGAGGTCCTCAGTCTCCTCCTTCTACCTCAGCCTCCTGAATGCTAGAATTACAAGTGTGTGCAACCATGCCTGGTGAACCTCTCACATACTTTATTTTTTAAAATAAATCTTTATTTTATCCCATTTCTCCCCTGATGCCCCTCCCCTCCCGATGTACAAAGCTTTTGTTTCAATTTTTTTCCTTTTACTTTTCTTGTCCCTTCCTTCTTCAAATCATCTCTAGACTGCTTACAATATTTAATACAAGGTAAATATTATAAAATATTATGTAAATAGTTGTTACATTGTATTTTTTTTTTTTGGTACTGGGGATCGAACTTGGGTCCTTGTGCTTGCAAGGCAGGCGGCGGAACCACTGAGCTAAATCCCTGGCCCTGTTACATTGTATTTTTAAGGGAACAATTACAAGAAAAAGTCTGTTGATATTCAGTACAGATGTCATTTTTCGTTTCTTTTTTTTTGGTACTGGAGATCGAACTTGGGACCTTGCACTTTCAAGGCAGGCGGCGGAACCACTGAGCTAAATTCCCGGCCCTTTAATTCTGTAATTTTGATCTGTGTGGTAAATACCTGGTTGTGTTCCCTTTGTAAAAAGTTCATCAGATTTGTGCACTTTATACATACAACAGCAAAGGACAAAGAAGAAGAGTGGGTAGGGGAAGAAAGGGAAAAGAGAGGGAGAAAAGGCAAGAAAAAGAACTGACAGTATTTGGGGCAGATATACAATGTGAGACTTTTATGACACATTTTCTTGGGCCTGTAGGATTTACTGGAAAAGTAGAAATACTGGAGGAAACCCTTAACTAGCAGATTAATAATCCTGGTATCCAGGCCGGGGATTTAGCTCAGTGGTTTCATCGCCTGCTGCGCAAGCACAAGGACCTGAGTTCAATCCCCGGTACCAAAAAAAAAATAATTCTGGTATCCAAATCACCTGATAAACATGCACTACACATGTGGGTGATGCCTGAGCTATGGCAAAGGAGGGAATAAGCGGGAAGACAACATAAAGGAAGCTGACAGGTTTTACTAACTGGACCTCGGCTAGACAGGAAATAAAGAGGGAAGGGTCAATGTTTCCTCTGAGATTTTCAGTCTGAGTGACAGAGATGCCACTCATGACAAGAACACAAAGGTGTTCTAGTCAGCTGAGACTGAGGGAACAGACTTAGGTGTCCACGAAGGTAGGCTGAGGGACCCTTATGAAGAACTTAGGTGATAGGGCCAGGGATGCAGCTCAGTGGTTCCGCCGCCTGCCTTGCAAGAGCAAGGACCCGAGTTCGATCCCAGGTACAAAAAAAGAGAACTTAGTCGATAATAATTAACTCCAACTCTAGAGGTTTTATCATTTGAAGAATTAAGACTGCAATCAATCCAGTAAGATCAAAAGTGAAACACGCCATACAAAGGTGCCAATTCTCAGATCATGATTGCTCTTTACACCCGGGGGAGCCCCCAGCATGCCCACTCTACTCACTCTGGCTCGCTGCTGGTTCACTTCAGCCCTGAGCTTGTCTCGCAGGCGCCTCAGTTCATGAATCTTGGTCCCAAGAGCACTTTCCTCTGCCCGAGCTTGCTGTAGCTCTTTAGACCTTTTACAGGGTCTGCTCATTTGAGCCTCTAGTCCTTCCAAGTGAGCTAAAATACCTAAGGAAAAGTAAAAAGGGAATTTCACAAGAAGGACTTCTAATACTGGAACCAGAAAGCACTTCAAGGAGGAATAGGTGTCTTCTTCCAGAATTTTATGGCCAACTGAACGGTTTTATAACTGCTGGGATACCTGCCACAATTATAAAACCTGAGGATCTGACAAGCAACCAAAATCAAAGATGATCAACCTTTTAGGCTGAACAGGGATTTAAGAACAGCCCGATTTTTTTCTTTCTTTCTTTGTTTCTTTGAGACAGAGTCTCATTAGGTAGTGTAGGCTGGCCTTGGACTCGCAGTGATCCTCCTGCCTCAGCCCCTTGAGTGTCACCTGGCCACAATTGTTTTCACAAAGAACGAGAGAATCTGATTTGTCTGTGACATACTTTCTAGGCAGGAGTTAACTAGGCCTACAGTTTATTGCAAATGCACATCTCTAATGTGGAAAGAATGATTCAAGGCTTTACCACAGATTAGATGAACTCTCCTTTACTAAAATTCTATATTTTTTCACTATCAGACTTCAATTAAGATTTCAAAAGTATCAGGAAAAAAGGTGAGATACAGAGACTATGCAAAATCACCATATTTCATCATTTGTCTTATCATCACTAGGATGCCTAGCTCTTCCTTTCTCAGATATCTCAGATTATCAGTTATCCCTGCCCTCTGCTCTATCCATTTCCTTTCAGCTGGATACTTCCACACACACTCAATACCATTATCGGAAAGTTGAAATTCTGAGGCAGGGAACTAAAATCAGTCAAGGTAACAGCTTATGTTTAACTGTTGTTTGGGAGAGACACTAAAGGGGCTGCAGAAGAATCCTCTGACTAATCTAGGTCTGTTGATGCAAAACTCCCACCTCATCATTTACTTTTTTTTTTTTTGGTACCGGGAGTGGAACTTAGGTCCTTGCACTTGCGAGGCAGGCAGCGGAACCACTGAGCTAAATCCCCGGCCCCTCATCATTTGCTTTAAAAGAAACAAAATTAGGTCATATTAGAGAATGGATTATTACTCCTGATAGCAGCATGATTTAAAACTTTTATTTTGTTTTTGTTTTGCGGTACCGGGGATTGAACCCAGGGCTTTCACACTGAAATACACCTCCAGCCCTTTAAAAAAAACTTTCTTAAATCATACCACAGCAATATATGTGCACCCATGTTTATAGCGCCACAGTTTGTTATAGTGAAAGTTTGGAAACAGCCCAAGTGCCCATCAAACTGGAAACTGGATAAAGATGTGGTTTTTTTATAAAATGGAGTACTACTCAGTCATAAAGAATGAGATACTAGAGACACTTTCAGCTAAAGGGATGCATATTGAGGCCATCCTCTTAAATGAAATAAATAGGACACAGGTGTAAATACCGAATAGTTTCTCTAGTGTGAGAAACTTAAAGTGTAAATAAGGATTAAAATGAATAACTGATAATTTGAAACAGGAAAAGGTCCAAAGGTGTAGGGGTGGTGGGAGGGGAAGGGGAAAGGAAAGACGGGAAAGGGAAAATTATGAGAAAAGAAAAAAAATGGAAACGAAATCTATGTAAATAGGGAAGGGTGGACGGGTGAAGGGCGCACAGGTCATGGGGAAAAATAAGAACCAAGATACATCATGTACAGGTACAAGCACCCAATGATAAATGTAAACGTATTGTATACCTAAAATGTACCAGTAAAAGAATAAAATATATATTTTTTAAAACTTTCTTAAATTTTTTTTTTTAAACTTTCTTAAATTTTGAGACAGGGTCTCAATAAGGCCTGTGCCACCGTGTCTGGATTTTATTGTCTTTTGAGATGGGGTCTTCACTACGTTGCCCAGGCTGACATCAAACTCGCGATCCTCCCGCATCCGCTTCCTGAGTAGCTGGGATTACAGTCATTACAGCCAGCTGTAACATGTTTTTAATACAAAAAGCCACCACACTTAGTTCTCGTTTTGAAGGAACAATAAATCCTAACCCATATACTGCGTTACCTGCTTTGGGCTCGCCGTCTGGACGTACAGAATTCGCCTGCTCCATCTGCTCAAGGCCCAGGCTTTTCTAGGAAGCGCTCCAGGAAAGTCTACTACGAACCTAGATGTCCTTCGCAGCAAAAGAACAAGGCAAAAAGTCATATCCACTCCCTTTTAGACAAACCCTGACAGGCTCGGGCATGCCCTCCGGCCCGGGACAATGCAAGCGTCCCGCGGGCACTTCGCCGCCGACCCTCCCGCCACCGGTCACCGTCAGCTGTGTCCGCGCCTCCCTCCAGGCCAGCCGGGATTCCCAGCACACGGAAGGGCTTTAAAGCCCTCTCAGCTCCACCCTGGTCACAGGTCCGTCCGTCGCTGGGTCTACCTTTTTTCCTCCTCATCCAGGCCACTGACGAGTTTCCCGCCACCTAAACCTTCAAAATCAATCCAGCGGTCCCAGAAGGCTCTGCACTCTCGCTGTACAAAAAAATGGCGGCGTTCAGAGCCCCTCCCTGATCCCAGCATGCACCGCAGAGTAGACGCAGCCATTCGGGTGGTCAGCAAGATGGCGGCCTGTGGGGCCGAGCCGCAGATCTTGGTACAATACTTGGTGTTACGAAAAGACCTATCGAAGGCTCCGTTCTCCTGGCCAGCGGGCGCGTTGGTAGCACAGGCCTGTCACGCAGCCACTGCGGCCTTACATCTTCACCGTGACCACCCGCACACCGGAGCTTACCTCCAGGAACTGGGGCACATGCGCAAAGTGGTCCTCGAGGTGAGACGTCCAGGGTGAGGGGCGGGACGCTGAGGGCGTCGAGAACGGAAATGGGCGTGGTCTTGGGTCGGAAGCCTAACTTCGTGGAGTGGGCGCGGCCTGAGAGGGGGATTTTTAACTTTTCAGGTTTTGGAGGAGGCTCTGGGGCTTGAGCTGCGGCCTAGGAAGCCTCTTAGGCAGGGCATGGGTGTGTTAAGTGTGGATATCAGACCTCATATTAAGGCCTACCTCTAGGCTCACCGGCAACTGGTGGCCCCGGCGGGAGGACGTAGGCTGGTGGAGCGCGTCCCGCCTTTTACCGGTGCCCCGGGCAGCCTTTAAACTGGGGCAAAATACTGCGTCCCAGGAAAACCGAGTCAGATGTCAGCGCAAAGTGAACTGATGCATTTTACTTGGGTGCGACACCAGATTGTTTGAAAATAAATATTTAAACTCCTAGTGTAAGTTGAACCTAAAGTCAAAAATAGCAGACCCAAGGGTGTAAATTGGCACATTAAAAAAAATAGCAGTAAGATTCTTTTTGCCTTTGGCCAAACAGATTTTACCCTTTGACTCTCTTGTTTGTACTGGTAGAAATCCTAGAATAAGCAGATGCAACCGTAGAGTTTTCACCGGAATATTCATAGGAGCACTTTGTACTGTTAAAAAAAAAAAAAAAAAATGGAAGCCAGGCCTGGTACACAGGCCTGTAATCCCAGCATTCGAGAGGCTGAGACAGAAGGATCGCCTCGAGTTCGAGGTCAGCCTGAGCTCCATAGTGAGTTCAAGGCCACTACATAGTGGGACTTTAATCTCAAAAAAGAAAAAAAGACGATATTAAATTTTCAATACTAGGGATTGGTTAAATTAATCTATGCCATTATGATGTATCTTTGTTGTTGTTTGGGGGAAGGGTGGTACCGGGGCTCGAACTCAACTTTAGGTATGCCAGGTGAGCACTCACCACTGAGCCAAAACCCCCAGCACTTATGATATATTACTACATGGCTAGCAGAAATCATGTTTTTGAAGCATAGGAGAGTGCTCATGATATGACACTAATTGAGCTGTATTATAAAACAATGGTTTAAATTTTGAAAGGGAAAGCTAAGAAAATACATCTATGTATTAACTAGTGGGCAGTGGAATTTGGATTATTATGCTTCTCTATATTTTTAGGAGGAGCCTTTTTTTTTTTTTCTGGTACTGGGGATCAAACTCAGGACCTTATGCTTGAGAGGCAGGCACAGTGCCACTGAACATTTAAATCCCCAGCTCTGCTTCTCTATATTTTTAATTGCTCCACATCAAATAGATATTTTATAATGAGAAAAAATGCTTTTAAAAATCATGCCTTTTAGTGGGGGTCTGGGGTAATCCCTTCATGGCTGGTTGGCAAAGATAGACTAATATGCTGTTGGGTAGTGAGACATCAACCAGTAATCTGTGGGAAATGTCTCGAGAATCTGTGAGTAGGCAGAAAAGAAGCAGGTAGCTTTTTGTTTAGAATTTTTTTTATATGAAAAGAACCTCCAGCAATTATTTGATTCAGGACTCTCCTTTTCACCCAGCTTGTCCCCTTTTGGTTAAAGACACATTACAGTGATATGCATACCCATGTTTATAACAGCACAACTCAAAATAGCTGAATCTTGAAAGAGGCCTGTATGTCCATGAACAGATGATTGGTAAATAAAATGTGTTACTTATAGAGTACTACTCTGCTATAAAGAAGGATAAATTTGAGTCATTTGCAGGAAAACGGATGCACTTTAAGACCATAATGTTGAGTGAAATAAATGAGACATACAAGCTTAAGTATCACGTGATTTCTCTTATATGAGAAACCCAAAGAGCTGAATAAAAGATAGCTGTTAGGAAACAGGCAGACAGATCTTTTGCAAATGGAAAGGGAACCAAGAGATGAAGAGAGGAGGAAGGGAGGGAGGAGATGGGGAAGTAAAAAGAATTAAAGTGTGTTTGTTGTGTGCATGAACCACCTCCCACCATGAATGTAATCATTACGCCCTGCAAATGTACTAATAAAAACAAAAATTTTTTAAATTTAAATTGAGGTTATTAATCTTCCTCCCCTAAAAAAGACTCCCCTTTTCCCAGATGAGACATCTGAAGCCCACAGAGAACTAAAAGACATCTGATGATGCAGAACTCAGCCATGACTCTGGCGTCACTACTGATTACGCTGAGTGCTGCTATAGCCAGGGAGGCCTGTAAAATGTAAGGCAGTGTAAAGATTGACTGCATATATTGGTGCATACATGTGCCAGGCATAGGTCTTAACCTAATTTCACTGATTCCTTATTACTATGAGGAAACATTGTCTTCCTTCTTTCGCAAAGGGGAAACAGAAGCACTGCTACATCACACAAGTTATCAAAGAGCACACAGGCAATAGGTGGTGGAGCGAGAGTGTAATGTTTAGCCGGGGATTGCAGAGGCTCCCTTGCCCCACTGAACCGAACAATGGTGCTGCTCACTGCAGTGGGAGGGGTGTTAATGAATCCGGTAGGCAGGATTTGGTAGACTGATGGCAATCCCAGAATCCTCTGACTTAATACGAGAAGCCGCTAGTTATCTTCGTAGGCAAAAGATAATCTTATGCAAAAGGACACACTAAGTGTCTTTATTTTCTAAGTGATAAATTTAATGCTTTCTGCAGTGGGATTCAGCATGGGCTCCTGGGAGTGGGTGACAAGGATGACCCAGAAATAATTTCAGAAGGGTGTTAGAGAATAGTTTGTTCTCCCTTTAGTAAGAAAATGGGAGCCATCGCAGCAGAAGAAAAACCTTTCTGGGTTTGAGCTTGGTGGGATGAGAGGGAATGTAGGGGTGCATGTTATTTTAGAAATCCTTCTAGTAGTCACCTCTTAAAATCAGAGATGAGTGGTGAATTAGGGTTGGCTGTTATGGCTACCAACAAAGGTAACGTGAAAATGTCTGAAGCATCATTATTGACAATGCATACATCTCAACGGGGAAGAGAAAAATCCCCATTTTATAGACAGGACCATTAAGCTCTTCCTCTCTCCCATCTGCCCCCAGACCTCCCAGGCCACTTAGCAAAGATCCTACAGAGAGTGAATGGCAAACCAGGGAATGAAAGTGTGGCTCCACTGGTCCTGTGGTCAAGCTGTTTTTCCAGTTTCAATTAACACAGTCTCTGCTGTGTTCTGCTCCTTTAGGCCCCAGATGAGCCCGCCCTAAAGGAGCTGGCTGAGACCCTGCGGCAGAAGAACGTTGACCACATGCTGTGGCTTGAGCAGCCAGAGAACATTGCCACTTGCATTGCACTCCGCCCATACCCCAAGGAAGAAGTGAGCCAGCTCCTGAGGAAGTTCCGATTGTTCAAGTGACGGCTGCTTTGGTATAGACAACTTAGCAGAAATTGGAATGCCACCATCTCTAAGCCTTATGTACCCCTGCCAGTGTTGACTGGTCTTCCCTTCCAGTTTTGATGGTTTCTTGAGAGTCAAACTGAAACGATCAAATTAAAGTTGTTACCAATCGGTACTTACTATTAATAGTAGTAGTAGTAGTAGTAGTAGTGTGAAGTTCAAGTGAGGGAAGTAGGGGAGTAGCAGTATTATCTGGGGTCTCTCCCCAAACTGAATTTCCCCACTGTGGATCAAGGGATCTCACATTTCATTTTGTTAAAAATAATGGAGTCCTGGTCTGGGGATTTGGCTCAGTGGTTTCGCTGCCTGCTGTGCAAGCGCAAGGACCCGAGTTCAATCCCTGGTACCCAAAAAAATAAAAAATAATGGAGTCTTTCTAATTACCCGGGTTTAAAACTTTGGCTTTGAATTCCTTATTTCTTATTCATTATCATAGTTCATGGAGTCTTAGACAACATCACCTTTAAGATATGGGATTATTTTATGTATCATTAGGGAAAAATGCCACCAATTACAGTAAGACATGCAATTGACCATAGCATGCATTTCAAAATCAAAGATGTTTAAAAATTATACACACACACACACACACACACACACACACACATATATGTACCCTTTTAGAATGAGATTTGTAAAGTACAGCTGCTTTTTGTGTTTTTGTAACCCATGTGCTTCCACCCTGTGTCAGGCTTGCATTTGGCTTCTCAGAGCAGCCGTCCGCTCTGCTCACCTGCACTGAATCCTGGTACCAGTGCCCAGATGCCCTGCTGCCAAGTGTCTATCAGTAGGAGCTGCGAGCATCCTGTACAGTGTGGATTACTACTCATCCATGGTGTAATGCTAGAACTACTTACTTCAGCCCCCAGGGCCGCCTCCTCTATATTTCTGACCTTTTCAGTTGAATTACCTATTCCCTTATTCAAATGTGATGTTTCACCAAAGTCACTCCAGTTCCTGTTCTCCAGTCTCTGGCCTGGAAGTAGAATGTTGCTATTCTTCCTCTCCCTTTCCTACCTCTGGACTTTACTTAAATGATTTGCAGTTCACACACTATTATCTTTATAAAGTTTTACCTGAAGCTGGGAATGGTGGCACATGCCTATGATAGTAGCTCGCAGGAGGCTGAAGCAAGAGAGTTGCTGTAAGTTTGAGGCAAGGCCAGCCTGAACCACACTGAACCCTGTCTCAAAAAAAAAAACAAAAAAAACAAAAAACAACCAAAACAAAAGCCCATTTCTTTAAAGTTTTACCCAGCCAAAAATGATTATTCCCCTTCTGAACATTTATAACACTGCAGAATGTTTAAAATATTTCTATAAACATTTGGACACATCTACAGAAACTGCTGGGAAGCACAGTTTATATGGGGCCATCTGTTCAGTGGATACCTCTTGCGTATCTACTGTGGCAGGCTGTACTAAGAGCTGAAAATATTAAAATGAGTATATTAGTCACTCTCCACTATAATGAAATTCCTGAGATAACTGGAATTTATCTTGGCTCGGAGTTTCAGAGGTCCCAGTCCAAGATCAGGAGCACACATTCTTTGGGTCATGGTCGGGGTGCCAGATGGCCAAGATGGGGAACATGTGGAAGCAAAAAGAGAGCCAGGAAGATGCAGGGTGTCATGAATCCATTTGGGGGAACACCCCAGTGACCTAAAGACCCCCTAACAGCCCCCTCCAAAGGTTGTACCACATCCCAGTAGAGCCACCAGGCCTTTAACATGTGACCTCTAGGAACACTTATCCAAACCAAACCGTAGCAGTGAGTAAAACAGTTTCTCCCCTCAAAGGTAAGCATTGAATGGGAGGACAGATAATTGCAGACAGAAGTGTGTAACTTCTGGCATCCTACCTAGCTACTAGACACTAGCAGTTCCTTTTAAAAGGCATGGTCATCAGCTGGGTATGGTAATGCACAACTGTAATCCCAGCACTCCAGCACTTGGCAGCCTGAAGCAGGAGGGTCATGAGTTCAAGGCCAGCCTGGATTATAGACCAAGATGGAGAGAGAGTGGAGGGGGGTCTCCCAGGGATAACTGGAGACACAGCTAGCCAGGAAGCCAAGTGAATAGAGTTTCAAAAGGGTGAGAGCAACAAAGACCACTATAGAATTTCAATAAATAAGAACCGAGGGCTGGGGATTTAGCTCAGTGGTTCCACCGCCTGCCTTAAAGGACAAGGTCCCGAGTTCAATCCCCGGTATCAAAAAAAAAAAAAAAAAAAAAGAACCGAAACCATTTATTTAATTGGGAATGTATTGTTAAGCTCAGTGAAAGAAACTTTGAATAGCATAATGAGGGTAGAAATCAGACTGTAGTCTTTCAAGACAAGAATGGGAAGGGAGATAAAAGTGGAGACTATTCTTTCAAGAAGTTTGAAGGGGAAGAGAAGAGATAGTGATTGAATTAGATGCTTGGTGCTGAACTGCCCGAGCCCAGCTCTGGGTCTCAAGCTTTGAAGCTCTGAATCTGGGCGAGCTGCTTAACTTCTCTGAGGCCCACTTCCCTCAGCTGTAAGACAGGGATTTACAGTAGTGCTGTGAGGGTTAAGTGTGTCTGTATGTACCAATCCTACGAGACAGTACCCGGGCACTTGTGCCAGAGCCCAAACGTAGGAAGCTATGTGAGACACAGCCTCAAATAGCTTTTAGCCAAAGAACTCAGTTTTCTAACTGCCCTTCTGGTGTCTGGGAGTGGTGCCATCCAAGAATCATCAAGCACTCCGTGATCTTTCCCTTTGAACCAACTAGGGAAATGTTTCCAAATGGCACAGAATCTTTAAATTTCTTTTGTTGTTCTTAATTCTGAATTCTTCAGTAAAACTTAATGATAAAACCAGAAACAGGTGAGTGTGTTAGTCAGTTTTGCCCTTGCTACACTCAGAATTTAAAGGAGGAGAGGTTGAATTTAGCTCCTGGTTTTCAGAGTCAGTCCATGGTCAGCTGGCTCCAAGGAGGGAACATCAAGCTGCTCGGTTCCTGGCAGCTCGAGAGCTGGGCAGGGGAACGAGGCCACGCCTACACGATCAGCTCAGACACACCTGGGGTTGTCTGTACTACTCTGGTACCTGTTTCCTAACCCAGTGAAGTTGACATGTCCGGAATAATGTCCGTGAAGCTGGGAGACTGCCACTCAGGCAGAGCCCTAACACAGATGTGCGCCCCAATAGGGAAAGGACAGGTAGACCTGTGCTGGTCCTGAATAAGGGTAAGGTAGAAGCAGGGAGCACCAGCTTCCTTATTAGTATCTACTTAGCCTGGTAACTAGTCCCTTAAATCAGCTTCACTCGGTACCTGTTAGAAATGCCAGTTTTCAGGCCCAACTGTACACTCACCTGAATCAGAAGTTTGGTGCTATGTAGAAGTGGCTGGGCCCCTGGGAGCAGCCAACCTAAAAGGTAAACAATAATACTTACCTGGCAGGGGGGATACCATGATCACAAAGGTGGTTTTCCCAGGGCGAGGCTTATCCATTGCACTCCGGATGAGCTGACCTCTGCGATTTCCCCAAATTCAGGAAACTCAACTGCATAATTTGTGGTAGTGGGAGACTGTGTTTGCGCTCTCCCCTGTAAAAAAAAAAAAGAGAGAAAGAGAGAAAGAGAGAAAGAAAGAAAGAAAGAAAGAAAGAAAGAAAGAAAGAAAGAAAGAAAGAAAACAGAAAAAGGTAAACAATAAATATGTGCGACTTAGGATGAACACATTCTGAGTGTGTCCCGTGTACTCCTAGGAAGGCATCAACCCGGAAGGCAGGCATCTGGCTCCAAGGACTCTTTCTCCAATGGAGCATGCATGGGTAAGTTTCTTATATGTAAAAAATAGTTTATAATTAACAAAGTTCATGTATACTACTCAATCCTGGCAATTCTGTCTTGTGTCACACAGTTTAGAGATTTGGAAAGGATTTGATTTTCTCAACATCAAAGTCAGTAGCAAGACTGGGATTGAAAGCCAGCTCTTTTATCATTTGTTTTTTGTTTTTCTGTTTGTTTTTAAAACAGGGTCTTGCTGTGTAATTAAAGCAGGCCTTGAACTTGAAATCCCCCTGCCTCATTCTCCCAAATTCTGAGATTATAGGTGTGTGTCATTAAACCCAGCTTTGTTGTTTTAGTTTTCTTACTCTTTCCTAATTGCTTACTAATTTGGTCTTTGCTCATCTAAATGCTGGTTGGAGAGTGCTTTGGAAGGGGTCATGAGTAGTCCATGCACAGGAAAGTTAAGATTTAAGATAGATTCTTTTATTCATTCATTCAAGAAATATTAAGCATCGGCCAGAAATTTAGCTCAGTGGCGCTGCGCCTGCCTTGCAAGTGCAAGGTCCTGAGTTCGATCTTCAGCACTTGGGGTGGAAGAAATATTGAGCATCTATCACAAGTCAGATACTGGACCAGGGACAAGGGATGTATAGTAGGGAATGGTAATCTATGATCGTTTAGTCTTCTTTTAAGGAAAAAATGTTATTATAATAGCAACATATCTTTATTGTAAAAACTTTAGAAAATGAAGAAATGCAGGGCTGGGGATTAAGCTCAGTGGTTTCGCTGCCTGCTGAGCAAGAGCAAGGACCCGAGTTTGATCCCTGGTACCAAAAAAAAAAAAAAAAAATACAACAACAAAGAAAGATTTATTATTTGTTTTTACTCTGTGGTTGTAGGATACTTTTATTAGTAATATTTATTATTACTAGTTTATTAGTAATATTTAGTGCTTTTGTTTTATTATGCCAACCTTGTGTAGTCAAAGTTGCAAAGTTGTCTTGTAGTTAAAGGTACAAAACAAACAAAAAAACTAAAAGCAAAAAAAAAAGGCTGGGGTTGTAGTTTAGTGGCAGGGCACAGGTCGAGAATGTGTGAGGCAATCCCCAGTAGCAATAAGTAAAGAAATAAACAAACTCTGATAAATCATTTATAAGGATTTTAAGACATCTGCCAAGCCTGGGGGTGTATCTCAGTCCTTGTCTAGCATGAGTGAGACCCTGAGTTTGGTCCCCAGTTTTGCCAAAAAAGAAAATAAAGAAAGGAGGGAGCTTAATGGGGGAAAGGGATAAAATAAAATTTATTTTTAAAAAAGATATCGACTAAAAATGGGGTTGGCACATGTTTTCTGTGAATGAATAGACA